TAGCAGTCTCACCTCAACCATCGCTACTTTATCTGTTATGCCTGTCGGTGGTCGTTATAGTCACCGCGATAATCTAGAGAGTCAATCATAAGAATCTCGAATTCGTAAGATACGAGTATTCGCGTTAATGACATGTGGGATTTTTCTCTGCCACCCATCCTAAGAATATTTTGGGGTGAGGAGAAAGTAAAAGTAATGTGAGATACACAGTCAAGAATTGATTATATGACGGGATACACTGCATCACACGCATGTCTAAAAAAGAAGCGCTTGTATACCATCCTCAGTGACAGTAGACGCACTCTAATAATCAATAGTTTGCTCTTCTACAGTCGATCCTATAAGCTGGGACATCAAAAAATCAACTTTACTGGCCAGTTCGACGAAATCTCAGTGTACCCACACGTGCTTGCATTTTCCCTTGGAGTCAATCCTACCATCTACTAGTCGATTTTTTAAAACGCTAACGTTGCTAGCCTGTCCATGAATCTTAGCCAGCAGGTATCATTACAAAGAACCATGGGGTCAATTTTCGATTCTTATGTGGCCTTCAAATTACTCACAAAGAATATAATAAAAAGGACACTGTTATGTGGAGCTGTCTGAACTCGGATCTCTTTACTTATGTATACATTAGTTTGTTTTCATGATATCTGAATAGCGCCAGAAGAACGATTGTGCGCAGACGGGGTGCTTCCAGCTATATAGCACAACGTCAAAACCAGATCAACTTAAAAAGAACAAAAGCGCGCTAACGTGAATTCGCTGCACTTTGCGGCCGTCACTCTCTTTGCCGAGAACAGTAGCGCTCGTGGCTTTACACGCGCTGGAAGTGGCGATTTTTAACTCAGTCAATAATGAACGCCTCGTACGAGCGGCCAGTGTCCTCCTCATCCTATTTTGCCCAACTACCACCTCCTCATCGTCTACTGCTCCGAGTATATGCAGCCGAGAAGTTGCGGCACGTATCAAGCCATGGAACGTACTGCAAAATTTACGTCGGTGGTAGCGAAATGGAGCGCGGTAGCGGTGTGTTCTCGCGTCGTTCGCAGAAACTTTCATCGTCTACGTCGAGTTTAGGAGGTCTTCTGAGTAGCAGCCGCAGTAACATAACAGAACGATTGACGACACGACTTCCTCAAATGTCATTGTCAATGGTAGATCTAAGTGAACCTCGAAGTCGGATGCGAGTGCTGAAGACGAATGTGCAAAAGGGCAAACGAGCTGATCCCGTTTGGAATGAAAAGTTTGACATTCCTGTATTAGATATGAGTGAAGACGTGCTAAGTATTCGTGTGAAGTCAGCAAGGCTCGTGTCCTCCCTCGCTATTGGTGCATGTTCGATTCCTCTCAAGGAGTTTATCTCTCAGGGAGCTGCGACAATCGACCGATGGTTTGACCTGAGGCTGGGCAAAAAGGATGCAGGACGGATACGGTTACAGCTAAGAATTGTAGACCACTCTACGACAAGAAGACAGGAAACAGATCCGGCTTTAGTATCCACCTTTCCGCGTAATGGTCAAGGCATTGATCCACACTTAAGCATTCTTTCTGATGAAACCCCGCAAGAGATTGCTGCACGAACACTTAAGAAGTTGTCGCGACGCGATCATAAGTATCACAGGTCCGGGAGGCGCTTTGACGGGCGATCTCTGGGGTCCACAATGCTGAGTAGCAGCAAAAGTAGTAGTGATGAGAGCAGTAAGTCGGCAAGCGACACGCAGGATGCGAAGAAGCGTGTTTCAACAACCACGACTTCGCGAAACAATAGTCATAGTTCAACGTCTAACGAGTCAGAACCTTCCAGCGATGTGTCTGTCTCCCCGGTGGCGTCAGATCTGACATCGACCAAAAATGTTAATGTTTTGGGAGCTTTGACAGCCTCAACGCATCGTGGAACCATGCGAAGATCAGAATTGGGTACGTCTAGTTAACATGTAGTCATACCTAAATAAGAGACTGACAAGCTGTCATTGACATGTAGAACGCTCAATGATACAAACAAAAACAGCGACGCGGATGTCACGAATACGGTCATCGAGATCATCGAACCATTTAGGCTCGCAGAAAAGCGAAGACGATTTGAATAGTCTGGACAGTTTTGCTGCAACAAATCGTTGGACGGGTAATAACACCAAATTGAGTATGCTATCAAGTGTCCTGGACCTGCGCGAAAGCTCAAGAATCAATGACGACGATGACAGTGACGTAGATCGGTTCTCTTCTTCTGATAGGGAGAGTTCTTTAAAACACGGGTCCGCATCGATTGCGCTGTCGAGCTCAGTAGCCAGCATAGACGAGCGCCACGACGATTCCGTGTTCAGCTTCAGCGACAGTGACGATGAAGACGAGGAAAATGCTGAGTCAAAGTCGGAGAGAGAGCGCGAGCAGCAGCGACAAAAGTGGCAGCTGGAGCAGCGAAAAATGCAGTTGGCTCGAATCAAAGAGGTTTCAAGGTCCATGTCTGACGAGGACCTTGATGATAAGTCCGAGAATCAAGACGATGATGATGTCGATCGCGATGATGACGATGAAGAATACGAAGACGATCACGATGATGATGATGATGATGATGATTATTATTATGATGACGATGACGATGATGATGATGACGATGATGATAATGACAATGATAATGATGATGACGAGGACGAGGACGTAGTTGATGGATTGGGGCGGGAACGAAAGTCAACTCGGATTCAGTTTACACCTACGCTTGCAAAGCTACTTGGTCGTGAGAGCATGAATGTGCTGTTCGAAGATGAAGACGATACGGAAGAAGAAGAGGGCCCCGAGGCTTACAAGCTGAGCGATGACTTTGTTCCCATGCTCGAAGCTTCTTCTCCGCGATCGTTTGATCTTGTAGACAGCGCTTTGCGTTTGTCGGGCTTTGATTGAGACCTTGTTGACATGTACAAATGGTTTAAACGAGAAACCAGGCGACATCACTCATTAAAGCGAATTATTGTCCATCTAACTCGAGTTTCCAGCCAGCTTAAATCCATACTGTGAATGTTGATGTGGATGCGTCACGTCGTGAGCTCGATCCACGCATACGCTATTTTCTTCTGTAGATAGTATATTGAAGCCCCTAGCAAGTCGTGCGCTTAAAATGTAAATTGCCAGATGTAGTGCAGTTCGAATAATATTATGAATATATTTGCTGCGAGCAGCGGTCGCGCCGTTTGAAGAAGCAAATAAAGCAGTCGCGAATTGTAAATTCTGTAGTGTCAAGGTGTCGATGTCAACCAAAGACAAGGCAGCAACTTGTATCCAGGCATCATTTCGAGGATTCCGATGGCGAACCATGCACCGACGATGGGTCGTAAGCAATTTATAATCGACAACCGTAATGCTTGATGGCTGCACTCATTAACGATATGCTCTATCAGAAAGCAGTGACTAAGCTGCAGGCTCTACAGAGGGGACGATATACACGTCGAAACTTTTATAGTTTTGCAGAATTTGCAAGAGAACAGGCAATACCAAGCATTAATGAGAGATTCTTTAGGTCTTGTATTGATTCCTGAATGAGTGCTACAGGAGAGGTTCCAACAAGCAACCAGACGTCGACAAATTCGTATCTGGCACAACGAACAAGAGCTGTACTTTTTGCAGCATACGAATGTAGAAGACCTCGAGCGAGTGCGTCAATTCCAGCAACAACACTCGGCTAGACTGATTCAGAGACGTTGGCGAAGGATTCGCAATTTCACAGCTGCTGCAAGAGACGAAATAGACGTGACCATTGCCCCAAAAGATCGAATATACACGTTTGATCCGATTGGAATAGCAACTTCTGGTAATAAAACACATGTCGAGCGCTTTAGTCATTGGCGTCAAGATATCGAGACCACTGAATTGTTAGGGTGTGCTGCTTCACCCGGTTCAAACCAAAAGCTTCCGGTTGCTTCGGACCAAAAGCTTCCGGTTGCAATTGCTACCAAAAAAAAATTTGCAGCAAAGCGAAGAGCGATTCAGGAACGGTGCGTATAGTGATAAATGACTTCTTCAAATTTTTTGTCACATTTGTTGTTGTGTGCGACAGTATCAAACAAAAGGTAGCACAGAAGAAGGAGGAGGACTTGAGTTCAGGTGCCGCGTCATACGAAAATGGTGCGAAAAAGGGATCGAATTTCGAGAAGAATAGGCGGCGCGATTTGTACCAGCAAGTCGTTGCGATGAAGCATACCACATTACAGCGGGTGCTTCAACACAAGCAAACACGAACATCACGACAAGAGCGAGAAGAAATTACTTCGCGGCTAATTGCATCATGCGAGAATCAAATTCAGCATCTACAAGCCGAAACGCCGGAGCAAATGACATCATTACAAGAAAAAGACCAACGCATGCACAATACAGAGATGATGGTGGAGTGGGATTCAGCAAGACGTATTCGTGCTTGGAATCATCACCGCCGAGCTGTCTGCTCGGTACTGGATAAACGTCATTGGTGGCAAACTTACCTCGCTGGCGATGAGCGTGATATTCGACAGGTTGTAATGACAAAAAGCCCCTGGGAAGACGAAACTCAGATCTGGTCTTGGCCTCGTACTATAAGTAATAATCAGGAGAAGCACGAGTCTGATATGTACGAAGTTGACCAAGGTCCTTCAATTGCTGTATGGCCGTCAACGGAAATTCAGCGATTCTTAGTTGGGGACAAGAACATGGAGAGGCCGCATATCCAAAAAGCTGAGCCTCTTGATGACAATGCAGCATCCGAGTGGTGGAAGGCGCATTGTACACAATCCCATTTGGCTATCAACGGAGCACTTCTAATTAAAAGACCGTGCAGAGCTGAATGCAGCGGCAATTACACAAGGGGCGAAGATAAGATTTCCGTTTGTACAATGGAGTTGGTTGCCAACCGCGATTTGTACAATCTTCAGCGAAATGCCAAGCGCGCAGCTCGTATCAAGAATCTTGAACAGGATGTCGAGCAGCAAATTACAGATTTGGTCACCCGTGTCGAACAGTATGTACGTGATATAGAAGCTCAAGTTGAGGTAAATACGCAAGTAGCGCTGGAAGTTTCTCGACAGAAGATGGAGCAGCAAGCGCGGATCACTCGCGAAGAAGAGTCGGCGGTAACACTCCAACGTTATGCACGCGGAATGCTAGGGCGCAGACATGCACGTGAGGTGCGTGCAGAATTCTTCGTCATGGTGCGTGGGCGTGCAATTCGCCGTGGTAGATGCGAGGAATGTGGGGATCAGCGGGCTGTGCTAGAATGTCGGCAGTGTGAAGAAAGTCTGCACTTTTGCCCGATCTGCTGGGTGCATGTGCACTCAACCCGGCGACGCAAGACCCACGTGGCGATACCGATGACAAATGTTGTCGCTCCTACACATAAGCTGCTAGACGAAACAAGTAAAGATGTCAGACTTTCGAAAGCACCGACAGCTGACATGACCAATATGAACCTTGAAAGCATAGAGGATAACAGTCGAAAGATCTTACTGCCACAAAAGCAAAGCACAACTCAAACCGCTGAGCCAGTCACAGGAAATTTGATGAAGTCCACGTCTGAAATTCGCGTTCAACTTGCAAGGCATGTTGAAGAATTTCCAGTAGAAATGGGGGAAACGATAAAAAGCACTGCGTTGAAATTTCGGGAGGCGTGTCAGCTGGCTTGTCGTGTAGGGGTGAGAGAGCGGAAGCCTCTCATGATAGCCGATATACCACTCGTCAATAGATCAATAGAGGATTCTCTAGATGTACCTATTACTGACGGCCAAGCACATTTTACAAATAGCATCGACATTTCAGCCATTGACGGCAATCGTATTCTTACGATTGAAAAAACTGCTCTTGTTGAGCGAAGCGAATCTGCCGGTGCCTCAGTGGATTCTACCTCAACAGTTGAGAAAGAAAACAATCCTGATGTTGAGACAATACCTTTACTTGAAGCAAATGTTGAACAAGAGTCAAAAGAAAGCAAACGGAACCTCAACTTGGAAAAACCAATTTCAGACGAGATTGTTAACATTGATACAATATTGCACGCATCTTTCAATGCAGCTGGCAAACTTGAGAACCATGAGAGTGCTTCAACTATCGAGGATTTGACAAAAGAGGCGCTAGACCCAGCACTTCGCTTGGTTGAGTCTGAGATACCGAACGACACGGAAAATCTAGCAGATCCTTTAATTTCTATTGACATTCCGGCAACGCTGACATCAGAAATTGTTGAGTTGCCAGTCGTACATGAGAAAAAAAGCACCGAGTGAAAGCTGATCAGTTGCCTCTTGCACAAGCATAAAAGAAACATATCAAAATTGGCCTTAAAGTAGACGTGAGTCAAAACCGAAACTAATGTTCAGAAATGCAAGAGCTTGTCTGGTTCATCGTAAATCATCAATTACTTTGCCACTCGGTACATTAATAATTTTGCCGCGATCAAATCGCTGTATAGCAATTATGGAGTAGCCTCTTTATTAGCTTTTTCCGCGTCTTTCTCCTCTAGCAACTTTTTAAAGCGGTTCACCTGAGAAGCAAATGCTTGGCTACACTTTTCGGTAAACGGCATGCGCATATCGTAGGCATTTTCTCCGTCGGCGTAGTAGCCCTTCTCGATATCGTACACCCTGCAGAAACACGCACATTATATTTCGTTCTCAAAAAATCTCGGCCGCGATTCTTTTAACACGTACTGGTACTTCAGAGTCTTTCGGTACAAATGAATGGCTGCCACGTTGCCCTCACGAACATGAAGCGACACGTACTCAGCCTTAAAACACTCCACCATAGCGCGCTCTAAACATAAACGACAGATAATTGAGCAACATTGTATTGCTGTAGACAAGAAGGACAATGAGACGCACGGGCAGCCAGCATAAGCTTAGTGGCCAGACCGCACTTGCGGTGCGTGCGCAGTACCGCCAGAGAAGTGATGTGGCCGTGAGGCACAGACGCCTCTTCCTCCCTTAGCCACAAAGCGCAGAGACAAATAAGACGCTTAATCCCATAAGTAAGATAGAGCATGACGATAAATTCTGTACATTTTGGCTAGTACGTAGCCGACGATCTTTCCACTGCGTTCCTCGGCAACGTAGAGAAGCTGAGGCCATGTCATGATGTGGTAATAGTAATACTTCATTTGGTAGTTCTCTGGAAGACACCAGAGGTTTGAATTTTGCACTTGCAACAGGTCATTCGCCTGCAATTTTATGATCAATAAGTCAAAATTGACTACCACTCACAGCCCACAACGCGAGTTACAGCGCATCAAGTCAAAGGTACTTAGACCCTAACGTGCTGATCGCAACGTCTTGGTCAGCCTTGTATAATGCATAGTACAATTCACGCACCGTAGCATTCCGAATAGACACCATTATGCAAGCTTATCTTCTTCGATTGTGGATGGCGCTGGGTGTTCATTTTCAATGCGGAATCGTACTAAATACGATCTTCTTTGTGCTTTTGCTTGCTACAAACACCAAAGTAAAACATGCACTCCGTCAAGCTATTGATCAGAATGGAATTTTCCCTCTCTATCTCGAGCTAGCCGCCGTCCAGGACTTTACCAGCAGCTCCAAGCTCTGAGGCTCAGACCCCCCCTCTGCTGACTACAGGAGTAGATTAGCACTATGAGTGAGGTGGAAGATGAGGCAATGAAGCTGCGAGTCAAACTAAAGCTGCCGCGCTCCATATCCATGTCCTCCGTAATTGAGGAGGCGCACAAGCAGTTGCTGATTGGTGCACGGGGTGGTGCCGCTGTTAAGGAACTACTTAGCACGGCTCCTAATATTGAGGTGGCTATTCAAGACTTTCAGGCAGCTCACGGTATTGCAGAGGCGCACGCGCAGCTCTTTATGCGCAAGCGAGAGAGCAAGCGAAAGGAAACACCTACGAAATTTGCTCCCGTGGTGCAACTGCTAGATTTGTTGCACGTACAACGTTCCAGTACGTACCAGTCGCTCCTCGAGGAAATGAAGAAAGAGATGTTGCTTCGCATTGCAGAATTACCCCAGAGCGAGCTGCCTCGAGTGCTGGAGCAAACATTTCCGTATATTGAGTTTCGAGAGTTGCGAGCCATCCCCATCGCTGTTTTGGCTAGACAAGACGACACACCAGAGCTGTATTTACGCGAGCTGACGGAAAATCGTCGAATTCTTGCAGAATTGCCTGTTCATGTGAGGAGGAAGATATTGCGGGTGGATAGGAGAGAGCTTCAGCTTCTTGTGGAGAAGTGTACGTGTGAATATGTAAACGAGCAGCTGGAGTGGTATCTTCATCATCCAAATTTGAAATCTGCGACAACACGATCATTGTCGAGAAAAAGCAGCAGCAACGGTGTGCATCTAACAAATCAGAGCAGAAAGCGTAGTTTGGATGACTCAAATGGTGGTAGTTTATGGGACGTCTCAAGTCATGTGCCATCTTCGGCTGATGTCGCTACTTCGTCATCGTCAGGGTCTGGGTACAGTGTAGAGCGACGTCCGTCATATTTCCCGGACGACCGCCGACGAAATAATCCGGCCTTGACGAAGTTAGTAGAATTACTAGGCGATTCAGAGTCGCTATACCTTTCCACCCTGGAGATTTGGCGTGGTTATGTAGTGGCTGCAACCATACCTGGTGCAACATGCAACCACCCAAAAGAATATGTGGACTACGTATCGCTTCTTGGTGCTATGCGCAGTGATCTTGCCAATCTTCAGCGTGACAAGACAACGCCTTTACTGCGAACCGACCCTCTTCACAAATTTATTTGGTTTCTGGATCGTGCTGTAAAAAATCAGACATTAGAAATTGCCCAGCTTCACGAGTTGTTAGGATTCATTGGACGACTTCGTACGTCGGATCTGCCACCCAACAAAAAATTTCGCAAGAAAAGTGGTGTTGAGGAGGAAGAAGAAAGTTTTGAGGTTGTTCTAGGGCCACCACCCGTCGATGAGCTTTTGGTGGTGCTCGACAAAATTGCAAGGATCGATGCTCGCTTGATTTTTGCAGAGCCCGTGCCTGATGACGTGCCAAAGTATCGAGATATTATCAAGAATCCAATGGATTTGTCAACAATGCGAAAAAAGGCCAAGCGCGGCAAGTACAAAACATTGGACTCTTTTGTGACGGACTTCAATCTTATGATCAGAAATTGTATGACTTTCAATCCGGATACGACTATTTTTTACAAAGAAGGAAAGCGCATCGGAAAGAGAGGAAACGAGATCATCGAAAAAAACGCTGCAGCTTTGCGGGGGGAACCTCAACGTATTCGTTCAAAAAAGCGCCGTAAGGCAGGGAGTGGACCCACTAGTGAAGCTCTAAGCATGCTTACTAGCTCTGGAATTGTAAATATTAAGGACTTTGGTGATGTAGATCAGTCTGGTATGATTCCTGAAGGTATGTGCGACGAAATGCTAGCGGATGTGGCACTAGTTCTATCAGACCCGCCTGTGAGGCAGCTCATTTGTGATGCTCTTATAAAGAATCTAGTGGTTTGCTGGCAGAAAAAAGAGCTTCCAACGGACAATTTAATAAGTCGTGCTCTTGTGCAACTTCTTCAAATTGGAAATCCATCTAGTGTGCGTCGAATGATTAGGAAGCAAGATTTTGTTCTCCGAGCTCCACAGGTTGTAACAATGCGCGTTGTGCTACCACATTTGCTGCGCATAATGTTGACCTTTCGTGTGTATTACGCATTCCCGGCTGGGCCGTACGATGATTTCACGAAAGCAGAAAAAGACATCATCAGCGCCAAGTTATGGGACACCGTGCTGCATGCGAGCTCAGCTATTCGAGCCTTGGCCAAGTCATTTACCGTGCAATGTTTAGTAGACAGTCAGATTGGTGCGGCATCGCGACTGCTGCACCATTTACTTTTGGCTGAAGAGGAAGCTCTTCTTCGTGATCGTGTTTTTCTTCACGCTGTCGCCGAAGTGCTTCTAGAACAGGTGAAAGCAGTTACAGCGAACACTGCCTGCACAAACAGCAGAGATTTGATGTCGAGTTATGCTGAAAATGGTGAGGTGATGACGACATTGTGTGAGCAGTTACAAGCTTTGCCCATATGGACGCAAATTTTCGACAGTTTCTTTGTGGATGTCCTCGGCCAGCGTATTCGAGCCGCTAAAGAGGCCACTGGTTCTGTTGTGCAATTTGCGGACGGTGCACTTGAATCAGTAAAACAAGAGGAAGAACAATCTGAAGCATCGCCGAAAAAGCGCAAGCGGCAAGGTGTTGTAGAAGGTTTTCCAACTGCAGTATTCCACGAAAAAACACTGGTAGTTTTGTCATCTCTTTATGCTTTGGTTGAAAAAGGAAGTTCTGCAGCTGGGAGTGAGGCGATGATTACTGCTTATCTGAAAAAAACATTGGGCGTTTTGCGTATCAATTGTTCGTCCTTAACAGAATTCCAGGCTCTCTGGACGAGTCCTATATTTTCTAGCTGCCGTCAGCTTTACGAGCTAATGTTAAGCAAGTCGTCTCTTGTGCAGACAGAATTCTTTTCGGTTTTATCGTCCGATGTCAATGCCAATGCTGGGCAGATGGTTGAGAGATCAACTCAGCCTACGACTGCTGATTCAAAAGTTGCAACAATTATGGCTGTGAAGTCGGATGATAAAATTCAGACAGGAGCCGAAGCGGTTGTGGTAGCAGGTAATGCTGTTAATTTAGACGCTCATGCTGAAGACGCGAAGAGCAAGGCTGAAAACTCTTTTATGCCTGAAAAGCATTTAAGTTCGTCAGAAGCTGATGGCGAAAACAGATTAAACGACGCCGTTGAGGCTGCTGCTGCCAACAAGGCGTATGAAGACCTTGCAATGACGGACTCAGAGGCCGTTTATAAAATTTCCACAAATGATTCCGAGAAGGAAGATAGCGCAGAGAACGCTGATACAATACCTGAAGTGGTAAAGCCCGCTTCGTCAGCGGTAGGCAACATTACTGTCGATTCAACCGATACGCCTGAAAGCATGTCGATTGATGCACCTTTAAAGATGGCAATAACGACAGAATTGGATACCCAATCTACGGCTGCAGTGACTTTGCAAGAAAGCACCGATGCGTTTGGTAAGATTGAATGCTCATCCGGGAAAAACGACACAACAACCCAAGATGCTGCAAAGCCGACTTTAGAAAAGGATACTGATGTAGGAAAAGAATCCCCAGCAATTGTATTAGAAGAGGAACAGGACAATGTTAGGATGCCATGAGTGCTCAGTGCAATAGTAAACCTCTTTTCGTTTCATTGCCTTGGTCAATGGAAAGTGTAACTCAATTTAAATTGCTATCAATAAGTTTTCCAGATCAATAAAAAATATAGAAATTTGTTGTTTTTTTAAGAATAATCTTCATCATGATTCTGAGACAAAGTGACAAAGTTATAATCGTAACGTGCACCATCATACTGCAGTTTATAACCTCTAAGTAAAATTTCCCTTTCTTCTTTTTTTGACTCTCGATCGTCTACCCTGATAAGTTTCTTTTTCCGATAGCCTAAAGGCCAATAATTATCTCTTTCAGAAAGTTTTTTGTGACTCGAGAGATATGCTTAGAACCTGTTTCGACTACGCGTACACATTTAACAATGTTGATGATGGTGTACCTTGAACTTGACATGTGCATCCGCTTCTTGTCATGGGCTTGACAATCATCCTCTGTCGCTCCGGGCGAGCGAGTCTCAGACACGATAACGCATTAACGCCCCTTCATTGGCTTGGAGTATGGCAGCGTCTACGGTGAGGGCTAAACCTGTGCATACATATACTGGCCAGGTTAGATTTGTAGCGGCCGAAATTGAGGAACCCATGTGATATTCATCCACGTGTCTTAACTAACACCTCTTCTGACCCGTATCACCTTTTGACTTTCGTTGAAAGAGATTGCGCTATGTCAGCGTAATTCGCACTAGATTTGTGCAAGATGTCGACCAGGCCAAAACACTTCTCATTACTTTTGAAAGTAGCAACACTCGCCACTCCGTGATGATTTGGGATCCACCGCTGACTATCCCAAAAAAAGTTTGGCGCCAAAGCCATACCTGTCTATGAAGACAAAGTGCTTGTTTGAATATACACTCGAGCACTACTCAATGTTGATGCCCACAATTGATCCCCCGTTGTGCAGGCTATGGACGAATATATCGCCAAAAAACGATTTTGTATAGCCACAATGCCGTCAAAACAGCTGCGTCACCGAACGATTGAACGTTGCTGGTGCGTTAGGCAGTCTGGAGGGTATGATAAACCATCCCGCAAGTCTGACAGCAGGTTGAGGGATGTCACTGTCTCTCTTGAGCAGCTGCATATAGTTCTTTACTTGGCAATTGGCATTGAAAAAGGTCCGACCGACTGTGCTGTTCTGCAGCAATCCTTCATAAAAATTGGCAAGTGTGCCAACTCTTAATCTGTATTTCGCTTGATAATATTATTCTAATGGGGGGTTACACGTACCCTGGTATAAAGGGGTTGGTGAGACAAATTTGTGTGGCCACATATTGGTGTGGTTACAACTTAAAAAGAAACCATTACATGGCTGGACTGCCAGTAGTCATGCATTTCAATTGGGTTATGATATTTATCCAGGAAAACCTATAGTGGAACAGTTTATTTGCCTTCGGTTAAGGTTGTGGGTACTTTTGGAGTAAGCGGATTGCGATCCGCTACGCTCGTACTAGTTCTAGTATAGAACGTAAGGTCGGTGACCTTACCTTAGTTTCCTCTAAGCAGAAGGCAACGGCAGCCCCGCTGCAAGCATAAACAAGTCACAATTTGCCTTCAACCTTTCTGGCTCAGAAAGTCGGTGCTGAGTGGCAAGTTTTACTCTTTCTTGCCACGGCAGCTTCGTCTTCGCACAAAAACCGCAAGGACCATATATATTGGCGCAGTCGGTGCCAGGAACCAAGTCAAATATGACGCAATCCCGATCGAAGGGCAAAATGTGTAATTGAATTCTCTTCACCACTTCCCGACATTTCTATTGAAAAATATATTTGCAGTACATTTTGGATAAACATTAACAGCTCACATGCCAGTATCCATAACAATGGGGGGTGATGACTGCATTTTACCACACCGATCTATCATGCATACCGTTTTGCAGCGCCTGCAACCTTCGAAACGGATACCCTTCAAGTTGATGAGAGCTACTGACATTTCAGACCCTAAGACATCCAGTTTCTTGACACCAACAATTGACATTTGTTCGTGTGTGGTTAGTTGTCCTACGAAGGATAGCACATCCTATCCGCAAAGACGATACAGCCCTCTCACAGACTCGGTCGTCGGATTAATTTATAATACTTTCAAGAGCAACAGGGTGGTCGAGCACTTTGCACAGAGAAAACCTCGATTTGAAGAATCCGCATATGCAATGCACAAAGAATGAGTTCGTATGCTCTATTAGAAACACAACCGCGATCCTTCGAGGTGACTAGGTACTTAATTTGTTCTGCAATTTCAAATTGATACAGATACGTTCTACTATATCCAATAGTAAAATCCTACATATGGCTTGACGCGAGGCTAATGTTACGGACATATCCTCTGTGAAGTCTCGTCATTTTCATCAGTACCGATCTTAAATATAAAAGGATTTCTGTGGTGTCCGCTCGTCTGTTTTTGGTTTCGGCAAATTAACTGGTCAGTTGACTAGCTCAAATCGAATAATTTGAAATAACATTCTTACTGTAAAAGTAATTAGTGGTTTAGGAGCTTTTTTTACATAAGCCATATTCCAAATATATTTTCCACCTGCAAAGCGTTTCACTGGCCAAAATGTGTAAACTTTATCGTGATTGCAAGCCTTGCAAGGAATTGTTCAAGTAAGTCGAATTTCTTTCATACGCACTTTGTAAAAATCATCACGGCGGTCGAGGGAACTACGTGCACTGCGCTGCAACTTACGGCGACTATACGTGTCGAATCGCGCGTTTGCACGGTAAAACCTGTCCCGCTGCTGCAAATCAAGGAAGCTGGATGGCTTGACAAGCTCAGACATTAATCGTAACGCATTATTCCAAGGTGGATTTGCTGACGGTTGTATATATTAGTATATTATAGTTCTGAGTCATTTTAGCTATTTGGAGAAATTAACAAAGTTGAGGCATAGTTTCTATCACCTAGCTACTATGTCATTAAAATTTAGATCTAGCTTATATTCTATCATGAAGCAAAAAATGATATTTAAAATCACAAACAATGATAACGTTTGTAGTCTTGTAACCTAATGGTAGCTTCAAATCAAGAGATAACTTGTGAGCCGTCAATGCTATACAGGAGATTTAATTATTACCATGTTTGATGCGGAAAAGAAAATCAGATTTAATACGTTGAAGTATTTACATATATGAACTCATTCTTCAGTGTATTTTAATCGTTGTCTTTGTCTTCGTCATGAGCCTGTCCACATAAATGACCACGATGATATACTTTGGGCTTGACTGGCCGACTTAGACGCAAGGGTACGCATCATAGCGCTTAACATTTTATCTTTCATGAAGCTTATGCAACTTGTTGTTCCATTGGCGCACTTCTTGATTTATGCTGTAGAGTGGCTGCCGCAGTAAGCACTTCATCTCCTGGTTGGCTTACAATCAGACTGAAACATATATACCTCTATTTCCGCATCACCATTACGAAATGTCATTTCCACGTCATTGGTTTTAGCCTTCATATCTTCTTCTGCGGCAATCGCCAGCGTAGCATTGGTGAACTTCTTCTGCGCCTTTGGAGCAAACACCTCCGTGTAATACATACTAGAACGCTGCGTCTAGTCTTTTCCACCAGTCGTGCCTGGATCTCTAAAAGTTTCTGTTTGGATGTAGAAGAGACACTTGCACCAACTAGATTGTTTCGTCTCTAGTATCTTCATTTGCTTCCACATCTTATGGTTTTCGAGTGACTTCGTCTAATTCTCCATAGCGCAAAGCCATTTATTCTTGTACCTGTTTTGCAAGACTTTGACGTATGACACAGCTCGCTCGCCATTGTCTTCCTGAGGGTGAGACAGTAGTGCAAATAATAGGCATCTTCAAAGTCAACTAGGTCGATCTGTTCTCGCCGCATGCCCAGGTGATTGTCTCTAAATCAGACCACTCCACATCATTTACGCTCTAGTCGTATTACAAATTCTCTTATGCCGTTACTGCCAGGCGTACTTGATCCACACTAAGTAGGTCGGTTCGTTATGCTTCTCCTGAGTCTATTCATCTCGCGGTTCCATTGTTGGTGTTCGTAGCCCTCTATTAACTCAGTATCGTCGGTGGTATCTCCGACCTTCTCGTCATCAACGATGTCAACCACACCTTCGTTGGTATCCTTCGACACCTCCCCTGCCAGATTATCATAAACAATTATACTTCTTGAGACAACGATTAATCCATCGGCAACATTGAGCAGTCGATATCCCTCGTACTGCTTACATCACTGAAAAAGACGCAATAAAGTTACTTGGCCTCTTGCGCTTCTGCTTATTCGAATGCGCGTAGCAATTATTCAGAATACTCCCACACACATCCCATCACCCGCATACGCGGTGCGGATCAAATCCGTCATC